AGGGAGGGGTAAGGAGTGATGGAGGGGGGAACTCCCCTGGGCTCGTCATTGCTTGTGTCCGTTCAGGTGGTCGTTTTCGTTGGCGGGCGGTCGCCTTCGTTTGTGGGCGGTTGTAAACGTTCGTGGGCGGGTCGCCCTCGTCTCGTTGGTGGGCGCTCGTGGACGTTCGCGCGGGTGGTCGTGGACGTTGGTGGGCGCTCGTGGTTGTTGGTGGGCGCTCGCGGTCGTTGGTGGTCGTCCGTGGGCGTTCATCTTCGTCCGTGGTCCACCACCCACACCTTCATCCATCGTCGTCTTCATTTTTAGGGCAGTCGTCGTGGTCCGCCAGGCGAAACAAAGACGACGAACGACGACCGATGTCGTCGTTCGTTGTCCGGTTGCCACGTCGCAGCTAGCGACGTGGCACCTCATTGGTGTCAGAAGGGAAAAAGCTGGGGTGGTGACTGCTTACCAGGCTGGGTACGGCACAACCTCGTCACCGTCGTCCTCGCCTGCCATCGATCTCCTTCGATGTCGTGTGTTTGCTGGGGGTTGGTGACGTGGCGCTGCCGCGTCGTTCTTGTGGTGCCGGGGTGGTTGTAGTTGTTCCGTGACGACGTTGTGTGTTGTCGTGCGCCGTCAGCATCCTTGTTGCGTTGCGGTGGGTGCGCCATGGGCGTGTGCGTCGACTTTCATGGGTGCTGGTCATCGATTTTCATGGGCGGTGGCCATTTGTGTGTTGTTTGTTGGGCGATCGTTGTTGGTTTGGGCGGCCAGGGTTCTTTGCAGTGGTGGGTTGCGTGACCTGGCATGACGGCGACGTGGTGGTGAGGTGGAGTCGTTGGCGTCGACGGAGTGGTGGTGAAGTTGTGGGTTGAAGAGAAAAGGAACGTCACAGAGAACGTCACAGAGTCACACTCTGTGACGTTGTTCATTTGTAGACGTAGACGTTGAAGTTCAAGATCACGCTCTGATCACGCTCACTAAGATTCTGAGACTACAAAAGTTTGTAGTCTCAAAAAGCTGGTATTACAAAATTTTATAATGAAAAAATTGAACAGTACAAGCTTTTGTAATGAAAAAAGAGGAGACTACAATTTTTGTAGTCTCAAAAGCTGGTACTACAAAACTTTGTAATGATAAAAGAAGATAATACAATTTTTTGTAGTTTTTGTAGTCCCAAAGAGTGAACTACAAAATTTTGGTAGTCCTGAAAAGTAGACACTACAAATTTTTCTCTGTCCAAAGAGCAGACGGTTTAATACTCTGGGTTCGTTCTTCAGGAAACAGTTGCGAGAAACTAATGACAAAAAGAATGACACAATCAAGGGGGTGTCGGGATCATAATCCCGGACCGGGGGCTGGTTGGTTGGTTGGGCCATCAGGCCGTTAAAAAAAAATTGGAAGCTCAAAAATTTTGGCCCAAAAACATTATGGGCGGCCTTCCTGGTGGATAAATTATACATAATAGATACTAGAAAGCCTCAAGATGTGCTAAATGCCTCAGGATGCGCCAAAAAACACAACTAAGACTGCTTACATAAGACAATAATAATATCGGACCATTGATAACTTTCCTTAGTGTGGCAACCGTTACAGCAAGGAAACATGTGCATGAGGTCGGTGCAAAAAATGAAAACGTAAGGTTGTCGATTGGAGGATTGCTTTTGTGGATCCCGAGCAGAGCTGACCACCGGCAATATGATCCAGTGGGATGTGGTCAATTGGTAAACCCACTTTCTGTTAGGGTTTCAATGTAAAACATACTAACATCTTCATGTCAAACCATTCTGATATCACCTCATTGTATTTACCTTGTGCAGGTGCCCATGCATTGGGTCTGCAATGCATGTTCAACATCGAGAGGCCCGAGGACAGGAAGACAATGTCACAATGGTGACGTCATATTTCCTAAAATAGACACGTGCCTGATTACGTTGGGTGGTTGGTTCAGCCCAGCGCTCACTACCAAAAAAATCAACCCTAGGTCTTTTTTTTATATCCCGACACCCCCTTGGACACAATGGTTTAACATTGATGGTCGGAAGCTGTTCCACGATGCAGATACAGGCAAGATGATCCCTAGAATGCTGAATACATTCATTGTACATTTCATTTGGGACAAGGGGATCACAGAGCTCGCGCAACGAGAGTTTCATCACCCACCCGAGAACATGCAGATTGTCAATGGTGTCTAATGTATAATAGCCGCAGTCGATCCGTAATTTCAGTTCGGAAACTGAGTTGTCACCAGGGACACAAGAAGATTCCTTCCTGTGAACTTGGCATTGGTCATGGCGCCCAATTTATTGTGTTGTAGTTCGAAGCTAATCGAACCCGTTCCCGGCGGCGGCCTAGTAATCCTTAACAGTACCCCTCCTGCAATTTGAACCCTGGAGGCGGCAATTTTATGAAATACTTTCATGTAATATACATAACTGTGGGGACGGATTTCTCATTAGGTACAAATCTCTGTAATGAATACAAAGTTACTTAATAGACTACAAATTTAATCAGAAACAGTGCATGAACTTGAGCTTGAACGTTTGAACGTCGATGTATACCGCAAGGTCACACGTTGTG